TGATTTTAATGTGACAACAAACACTTAAAATTGTAAAATGGCGTTTACAATTGCTATAATAATAGCACTAATACTAATTTTAATACTTTTCAAACTAATTTACTTGTCATGATATCTTGAATCTTTAAGAAGTTACATTATTTTTTGCATTTTATAAAATTTATATAGTGGTTCATATGTGTGTAAGTATAAGTGGGCAACCCTTCCCTAGTAGTTTGTAATTATGTTTATTAATGATTAAATTTGTAAAATGTGATATTTCAAATTTTAATTTATAATTTCAAAATATAATATCTATACATATATCTTACAATATTGTATTTGTAGGTTAATATTAATTATTTTTCTCATCTATTGAAAATTTGAACTTTTTTTTTTTTTTAATTAAATTGAACATTTGAACTTATCCCCTTATGTTTCTCCGATAGTTTCCCGTTTGATTGAAAATAAAAGGGGGTTTTCACCGGAATTCACAGAACTTTCTACATCTGTCATCCCGCCACCATCTGCTCTAAGACTCTTATAGAACACCACCCAATACACTCCGCCGTTGTCTACATTGTCCTACCTTCTTCCCATTTCCTTCCCAGCAACAATAATCCATCTGTCTAATCTCGAGCATTGCAGCAATGGCCGACGACAATGCTGTTACACTCTACAGCAACACCGCCATCACCGACGCCAAGAAGAACCCATTCTCAATCAAGGTCGCCATGGCCCAGATGCTCCGCGGTGGCGCCGTCGTCGAGGTCACGACCCTGGATCAGGCCAAAACCGCCGAGTCCGCCGGCGCGTGCTGCGTCGTCGTCTCCGATCCGCTCGGTCCGGGGATATCGCGCATGGCAGATCCGTCCCTAATCAAGGAAATCAAGCAAGCGTTATCAATCCCCGTCATGGCGAAAGCTAGGGTTGGCCATTTCGTCGAGGCGCAGATCCTGGAGTCGATCGGCGCCGATTACATCGACGAGAGCGAGACCCTAGCCGTCGCCGACGAGGACAATTTCATCAACAAGCACAATTTTGGGCCCGCGTTCGTCTGCGGTTGTCGGGATCTGGGCGAGGCTCTGAGGAGGGTCAGGGAAGGGGCGGCGTTGATACGGACGCAGGGAGATCTGAGCAGATCTGGAGATATAGTGAAGACTGTGCGCGGCGTGAGGAAGGTGATGGGGGATATTAGGGTTTTGAACAACATGGACGAGGACGAGGTATTTACATTTGCTAAGCAGATTAAAGCGCCTTATGATATTGTAGCCCAGACTAAGCAGATGGGCCGCTTGCCAGTGGTCCATTTTGCCGCCGGCGGAATTGTGACTCCGGCGGATGCTGCACTTATGATGCAGTTGGGCTGTGATGGGGTTTTTTTGGGCCCGGAGGTTTTTGACTGCTTGGACCCGTACAATCGAGTTCGGGCTATTGTTCAGGCTGTGAGGAATTATAATGACCCGTTGGAGTTGGCTCAGGTGAGCAGCGGTTTGGAGGATTCAATGGCGGGATTAAATCTTCAGGAGAATAGGGTCGAGCGATTTGAGGCAGGGAGTGCTTATTGATTGGTTTCTTGGTGAGAATTTCTTGTTTTGCAGTGGTTTNTCTTGTTCTTCATCGTGAAGGCGTGGTGTAGCGTTGTAATGTTGTTGTGGTTACAAGTTTTGTTGTCTGTGTTATTTCTTTACATACAAGTGGAAAGAATAAAAGCTAGTGATTGATGATGTAATGTACTCATTGTTGCTAATTGACGAAATGAAACAAGAAAATGTGAAATTTTGTTTGGACATCATCTAGTCAGGAATTTGGATGCCATGAAGTTTTGTTGTGCTGAAAGTTGTGTTTCATATGTAATGACCAATTAAGCGTTTGTCCTAGGGAGAGACAATTTTATTATTTTGAGAATTGGCATTGCGTAAGGGTTATCGGGTCCAAGATGATCTACTTGAATCAAAACTCACCAAGAGAGTCGGGCACATTCACGAGGTGAAAAACATAATTGCAAGTACCATGTCTTTTAAACGCTAAACAAATCAATATTATCAAAGCACTGTGTAGGATGTAGGAAGGTTGCATCTAATGCCATTATTTTTTAGTGTCAAAATAATCGACCAAATCCAAATCCAAATCCTAAATCTGTTGGAATTTTGATAAATCTATTTGTTACAATCCACAACAAGGAAGAAAAACAGTCTCAATTGGTATTTATACTGTAGTGATGGATTAATTATCAAGTAAAACGTGGGTTCGATCCATAAACCATAATACTAGATACCATCATACCACCAATGGACAGCGAAAGAAAACAGCAGAA